CTGCGCAGTATGCAGGGTGCTCTCTGGCAACAATCACAGAGGGGAGAGCCCAAGCACTGAGACAGAGGCAAGCTGTGTCCATGCAGGGCCTGTCCCAAATACCTGGAGCCTGTGTCGGGGGCTCTAGCACGTTCTTCGCAGAGATGCTTGGAAGCATCTGGTTGGTTTTTGCTCCTTGGGCTGACCAGGCCTCTTGTGGACTGGGTGCAGCTGTGTGTTCCCCAGGGTGCAGAGTCCAAACATAATAAGAGAGAGTCTACCTGCTATGGAAGCAGCAATTTATCTGGAAGAGGGAAGAGGCCAGAGACACAGGAGAAGAAATGAAGCTCGGGGACTGTTACATGAGGAATCTGCAGAAGGTCGGACGCCAAACCACATTACATTGCGGGTTTGGTATGCAGAGGGGACGGTACCCATAAAACATGCCTCATTTTCATTCTTGATTTTTGCCCACATGTTTGTACTCCTCCTCCATTTGTCCGTTCATTCCCCAAGTATCTGTCAAGCAGCTGACCCTGTGTTTGTCAGCGGGTGGTGAGGCCACAGCAATGTGCCCACCTTCACGGGGCTTCTGGTTCCGTGGGGGACACAGGCGGTCGCCGTGTCTCATGGTGTTGTGAAAACGTTGCCTTTTTAAATACATTCTTTGAAAAGAGCCCACGTGCAGCGGGCTGATTTTCTGAATTCTCTCTGAAAAGTCCTGACTATTGATAAGCAATGGAATTTTCCACCTGGGTCATTTATTTATTTTTAAAGATTTTTATTTATTTATTTGAGAGATTGAGAGAGAGTGAGCACAAGCGGGGGGCAAAGGCAAGGGAAGGCAAAGGAAGAGGGAGAAGCAGGCTCCTTGCCAAGCAAGGAGCTCGATGTGGAGCTCAATTCAGGACCCTGGGATCATGACCTGAGCCGAAGGCAGATGCTCAACCCACTGAGCCACCAGGTGCCCCTCACAGGGGTCATTTAAAGATAGTTGTGGTTTGGGGCACCTGGGTGGTTCAGTGGGTTAAAGCCTCTGCCTTCGGCTCAGGTCATGATCCTAGGGTCCTGGGATCACCCCGCATCAGGCCCCCTGCTCTGCAGGAAGCCTGCTTCCCCCTCTCTCTCTGCCTGCCTCTCTGCCTACTTGTGATCTCTCTCTGTCAAATAAATAAATAAAATCTTAAAAAAAAAAAAAGATGGTTGTGGTTTCAGCAGAGACTGACTGACGGGTTCTGCTGCTTGAATTGTGGGAAGGAGTTGGGAGTATTTGCAGATTTCTCTTTAAGAACTGACTATGTTAGAAATGGCTTGTAAAGCAGGGTTGATATAGAGAAATACTTGCATCTTGAGGAGAATGGGGAGAAAATGGCCTCTCTGGGGTCAGATCAAATATAGGGAGCTGTGAAGACGACGCCTCTTTTGCAACTCTGGCCTCTTTAGGCAAGCCCCTGGGGCCCACCGGGCTTCCCTCTGGGAAGAACAGGGCAGGTACCTCACAGTCATGGGCTGGCCAGCTTGCTAGCCTCTTCCCTGTATACCCAAGACATCTCTCTATCTCTCGGGTTAAAAAAAAGAAGAAGAAAGAAAGAAAAAGAAAATGCATGAGCTAACTGGCTCCTTAGTGTCCTTGTGTCTTTCTACCTTCTTTACCCTCCTTTCTTTCTCCTGCCTCTTCCCATCTCTCAACTTCTTCCTCTCTCCTTCCCCTCCCCTTCTCTGTGTTTCTCTTCCCTGTTCCCAGCTCTGACACTTCCTCCCTCTCAAAACAAATTTTGCGGTTTTTAAATCTGCAGAGATAAAAATAACCGTCATTTATAAGCCTGAGGACTTAAAATAATAGTAATGTCTGTAGGTGAGCCTATGCATCACAGCTCCAGGACTCAGGGAGCCTTTCTTTTCCTACCTGCCCCAAAGCTGGGCCCGCAGGAGACCCTGAGACAGGCTCCTCCCTGCCTGCAGCCCAGTCTTCAGTACCCACCCCCCAACCCCTCACTCTCCCACCCCCCCACCCCTCCACGCCACCCCTCCACTCCCCCACCCCACCCTCCCACCCCCACTCATCTCATCCAGACCGGAGCCAAGCCTGTCCCCTACCAGCCAGCTTTGTCAAATATCCTGCTGGCTCAGAGCCGAAGGGGGAATGACATCAGAGAATGAGTTAGTCCTGTGCAGGGAGTTGGGGGAGGGGAATTCCTGGACACAGTCATTTGGAGCCAGTTCAAGGAAATAGCAAGTCAGCAGCCATGCCGCGCCCTCAGGTGGCTCCGTGCCGGAGGGCGCCTGCTCACTTCTCCAAGCCCTTCTGGGTCCCAGGTGATGGCCAGTGATGGCCAGGAGCCAGGTCTAACCCAAGAGGAGGAGGCGGAGCTTCGGACGGGGGAGGCCATAGCACTCGAGTAGGCTGAAAGAGAATCTTTACAGAGCCAAGAGGTCTGATTTTTATTGAAAGAAATGACTCAGACGTAGACCCCGACACCCTGGAAACACCCTGAGTTTTGTCTTCCTCACCTCCACATGGCAAAACTGGAACTTCACCCAGTAGACTCTCAGCTGAGCCTCACTCATGAGGACACCCACCGCCTACAGGGCAGAGCCAAGTCCACGGTCAAGAGTACAGGCCCTCTTTTCTTTGACTTTGACTACCTTCTCAGCTTCCCAGGCTCATCTTCCTCTGCTCGTCATCAGGCCTCCGCCGTCTGCCTGCTGGCCCGCAGTTTCGCCTGGCTTATCCTTGTCCAGCACAGGCAGACACCCCCGGGGGAGCCTGCCCTGCCTTCCCGTAGGACCCTCTGTGTCTCTCCCTCACTGCCCTGAGTGTGGAGCTTTATAAGTTATCTGACACACTGCTGACCCTTGAGCAACAGGGGCTTGAACTATGTGGGTCCGCTTACACACAGATTTTTTTGTTCCCAGTAAATATAGTACCCTACAGTAAATGTATTTCCTTTTCCTTGTGATTTTTCTAAATGATATTTTCTTTTCTCTAGCTTTATTATAAGAAAACAGCGTATAAGACACATCATATACAAGTACGTGTTCATCGACTATCTGTGTTTTTGGCAAGACTTCTGGTCAACAGTATGCTATTAGCACTTGGGTTTTGGGAGTCGTGGATTTTGGACTGCTTAGGTGCTCGTCTTTCAAGGGTCAACTGGGTGTCTGTCTTCCTGCTAGACCGTTCATCTTTGTATCGCCAGCACTTTGTGCACCATCTGACACACAACTGATGCTTCTGGAATGAATAAATAATCTGGTGTTCTATAGGATTAAAAAAAGCTAAGTTGTGGAGACCTTCTAATGTAGCATTATAGATAGTTTTTTCCCATTAAAAAAAAAAAAGCTTAAGATCGATAGTTTACGTTTAAATACACACTTTTTGAAAAAGGAATATTCTGTTTGGTAGCACCTACTTAAGGGAGACTTGGTGTTAAATACTTTGTGATAGACGGGAAGGGAAACTCTTCGTTTTCTTTTTAGCTTTTAGTCTACTTCTTTTGACCCTCAGGGTCTGTGCTTCGTAAAGTCTCTGGGAATCCGGAAAAGGACCTTCTCCGATCAAGCGTATTCTGCTCTGTTCCTCCTCAGGAACGGGTGCTCATTTTATACCTTAGCCCTTTGATTTGGCAGGAGCGCTCTCCTAATCCTTAGAGTTGCCGTGACTTCTTGGAGAAGACAAGGAACCAGATGTGGAGAGAGCCACCGTCATGAGAATCTCATTCAGCTCCTCTGGGCAGAGGGCCACCACAACACCTAGTCCTGTCAGGGCTGATGACATTGGTCCCCAGAGAGACTCCGTCATACTTTGACCAGACAGAGCCTTCCTTGTTCTCAGAGTTTACTCCCTTAGATTATTTCTATCCTGGCCCCATGGAACAAGGAGGTAGAAAACACACTTTTGCCGGGTACATGAGCAACATCGTGATCATGACGTTGATGGAAAAAGTTCCCCGTTTCACTGGCTCGAGAACATAGAAATGGTCTCTGAAGAGATGACCTTGTACAGTCTGTATCCTTCCCCTAGCAGGATTTGCGCTTTGTCCGGGTCTCCACGGAACCGCTTGTTAGATCTCGGGTTTGTGTTCTCTAAATAAGATGACTTCTGGGGGAATGCTCACGTGGATCTTCTTTTTTCCGCTAATATTCTTGGGCTCTGGTTTCTCCATCCATAAAACGAGGCGGTTGTCATGGATAACCTTGGGAATGGTTTCCAGCTTTTAAAATTCTACTTTATAGTTCTGTCTCCTTTTGTTAGCCATAGTTCACATTCTCAAATCATTATTCATACATTTTTGTGAGAAGAACAGGCAATCAGCGTCCTGTTCCCCAGCAGGTAAATGGCGATCTTTATTGGAAACATATATATGGTGGAAAAACAGCTCTTGATTGTGATGACATAAACAACTGCGACTTTCAAGGGCCAGTAACTCGGGAATTACAGGAAAACGTTTGCATCTTCTGACAATATAGCTGCAGCAACCCAAGATGGCCTGAGTACAAAGGATATTTATACATTGGGTTTCAGAAGGATAATTCAAATGCACAAGAGCCTCATCTTGTAATGTTATCACAAGAATATCCAGACAATGTTTTCTTTAACTCCGGGAAGAGCAATTTAGAAGGCTGGATCCTGCCACATGGGTCCAGCCGCATGTTTAATACTCTTGGAAAAGAAAAAAATTCTTCTGTAAACACAGAAATCACCAAGTACCGAAGCCTGAAGGATGTTTCTTTCTTTGCTTACCGTTGTCAGGACCTTGTATACAAAAGAGCACACAATTAATAAACACTATCAAATTTGCTGTTGTCATAAACCAGGCAGCCATACTTTATTTGCACCATGGGCTATCCTGGAATTCACTCTTAAATGGTTTGAAAGCACCGAACATCGAGCTGAGTGTATTTAGAGTTCGTGAAACATGGCTCAGAGTTACAGAGTCAGTGTCCCTAGTTAACACGTTCTAAAAATTTTCACTTTTAGCAAATGAAATATTGCCACTTGAGAACATATTCCTGAAGAAGACCGAGTCCGTGTTTTCAGCACCGCGGAGGCAGGTTTCCACACCAGGTACGCCCATGGTGGCCTCATTCTTTCCACCAGTTCCAGCATGTTTGTATGGGGACAGCACCTGAGACTGAGAAGCTCCTCCCCCTTCCCTTCACCTCCTTCTCATATCCCCTCCCCCACCCAGCTAGTGCACACTCCATGCGCACCCTGGGAAAAATGCTGGGTGACTAGCACGGAGATGCATTCCTGTTCCTCTCTGGAAGGCTTGAAGTGTTGCCTCAAGAGCCATTGACCATGGTCACTGCATTTCCCCCTGTGTGATAATCTCTGTTCTTGGAAGCCAGCCTTCCCCTTTATCCTGTATCTGGACACCTGGGCAGCTGAAGGGTCATCTCTTCATAGAGAAGAAGTGACCCGCCCCCAGGGACATACAGCAGTTTTTCTAGTGCAAGTGTAGGTTGCCCTTCCCAATGTCACATCAAGGTCAAGGGTAATGTTCTTTTGGCCTCTCAGGTTTACCAACTCCAATACCCCCTCCCTCTGGACACTGTGGTTTTTTACTCTTCAAACTTCTGCATCATAAAGGGGAGCTCATGGAAAATCTTTTTATAGAAATGAACATATTGTTTCTATCCCGGCCTTTCTATTTTGGGGACAGGGAGAAAGGGAAGATGTAAGGCAGGGTCACGTGTTTGAAGAAGACACAAAGCCCTGCCAGGATGAGAGCTCTGCTGCTGGTTCTCCCTGTATCCAAAGTCCACATGGCGTTTTGTGACACCCTCAACAACAGCCAGGCAGGGGATGGACTTTTAAGGAAGTGAAATGCATGCAAACCACAAAACTGCCCCCAGGCTAAAATTTTTTTTTTTTTTTTTTTTTTGGTAAGTAGCACTGAAAAATCACAGCTAATGAAAAGGTGAGTTTCAGTTCTTCACCCAGAGGGAATCCCACCCCTTGGCTAAAGATGACAGCAGACAGCAAGACAGCATCCCCGTGTGCTCACTGGAACATTCTTTCTCTTCTTGCTGATAGGCTGTTGAAGGGCTGGGCGTCAGGATGACCGAGCGCTTTGACTGCCACCATTGCGAAGAATCTCTCTTCGGCAAGAAGTATATCCTCAGGGAGGACAGCCCCTACTGTGTGGCATGCTTTGAGGCCCTCTACGCCAGCACTTGCGAGGAGTGCGGGAAGCCCATCGGCTGTGACTGCAAGGTACCCCCGGGGCCTCCCCCAGGCAGTGCCCACTATTCCAGGGTCCCTCCGTGCACCCCAGAAACCACGGGCTTGTGTGTGGTGTGTGCCAGAGCTCTGACCCTTAGTGCCCATTGAAATTCCGTGTCTTGAGCCTCCTCTGATGGGCTTGTCTCCTCCGGCCAAGAAGCCTTTCCGAGCCTCTTCCCTCTAGCTGCTCTGTGCCCGCTCCTAATCCCGTAATGCTTGGTGAGTGCATTTCCAGGACATCCCTGCTGTGTCCTGAGCATACTTCTTATGTTGTGGCTGTTGGTGTCCTGATCAAACACTGCACACCCCCACCCCCACCCCACCTCCCAGTACTGTGGCTTTCCAGACGGCAGTGCTGTCTTGCTCGTGTTTGCCCGTGCACTGGGTGAGTGAATGGGCACATGAGTGGCCCGGGACTGATTCCCAGATAAATGGGCTTGTAAAGCACTAACTTCATTGGAAACTTAGGGGCTCTTTTCTTCTCAATGGGAGAAGATCAGGATTGGTAGTGTTTCTTTTTCAAGGGGAAAAGCTCATGCCTGAGGGATGATGACCAGCTTTCCCACTGTGGATGACATCAACAGGTTCAGTGGAGGCCACGGGTCATTCATGCTGAGTAGCCGGGGCTGAGCGCTGAGGACCCTGGTCCTTGCTTCTCAGCACCTCTTATTCCAACCTGGACCACCCAGAAATCCCCCTAGAGGTTCACCCATGTTGCTAAGTTCTCTGACATCTTCACCTGCTAACCAGTTGCTAAAACACACTTGACAAGACTTTAAGGGACTGTCCTCCTCAGAGCCGTGGAATTGGTACATACTGGGGTCCCTTGGGGACCTCCAAAGGAATTTGAAGCTTACGGACTTCAAGGCGATTCGGGACATCTTGGGGTCTCTCTTCCATTTTCTTCCCTTGCACTCTGCGGGGGGCTTTGCCTATCTCCTCTGTGGTTACGAACATCAGTTCGTAGCTGCTGCCCGATCATGCCGGGCCATGCCTGCCACGGGGAGGCAGGTGGTGACGCAGCCAGTGCACGGGTGTGACATTTCTTTCCTCTGTTACGTCATTCCCAGGAAAGGCGGGAAGCAGAAGGCAGTACAGTCCCGTTTGCGCTACTGGGTATTTGGTGATGGTTGGGGAATGACTTCCATCCTGTGTGGAGGGAAGCCTTTGCCCTGAGCAGAGACAATGCCTCTGCAGAACGGGCCACCAGCAACCAGGCTGCAGCCACGGAACTTTTGGCTATGGAATAGGGGCGGCCTGGCTAAAAGAAACCGGGTGGCAGCAAGCCTGCCTAAACTTCAGAACGTGCAGAGGCAAGGCCCCCTGAACAAGAGGAGGCTGATCTTGCTTGTCTAAAAAGGAGGTACCGTCCTGTCTCTAGCATTGTCTGATAAATGATTCGCTCTCCCTCATAGGTTCTTTGAAGGCTCTTAGTGCCTGTTTCTTTATTTACGAGGCCAGGCATAAGTGTTCCAACCCCAAACTGCCCCGTTCAGTCCTGGCTCTGTGTCTCACTAGCTGTGTGAGCTTGCGCTGATTACTTGACCCCTCTGTGCCCATCTTCCCCTTTAGGAAAGGCAGATAAAACAGGTGTCAGCGTGATGGGGTTGTTACATTCTGGATAGGACAGGTGTCAGCGTGATGGGGTTGTTACATTCTGGATAGGAGCCTCCGCACTCTGAATAGCAGCTGATGATCTCGTAAACGCCATCGGACTACTTCCCTATTCTTTCTGCAGCACGTTCCCTCCACACAAACCCCCTGGAAGCCTCGACCTGTCTCTCGATCTGTTTGTATTATGGGAACATCAATAAAAATGTCCGGTTGGAGGAAGAACTGAGAGACAGAGCGGGGAGAAATGATCCCTTATAAAAATTTAACCTGGAATGGGCTTAAGTAGGTGAGAGGCTCATGTATAATTTGGACAAAGAATGAGGCTGGTTTAGAGGACACGATTTGGATATTTGGGGCTAGTCATCCTTGACCAGCAGCTAAAGTAAAAACAAAGCAGCAGTCCCTTCTCATTTCTCCAATATGATTTAGTGCAAAGACCCTGAAAACTAGTTACCCTTCAACACACACTTGATGAGCAGATAAACAAGAATCCCATGAGCAGGGCCAAAATCAACAAGACTGTTGCAAAGCCAGGCGTTAATCGTGCTGAACTTTTCAACCCTGATGCACGGTTACTATACATGGAGTTACGCTTTGTGGTTTTCTGCACTGTGGAAGGAAAAGAGATGCTTTCTTGACTTGGCTCTTTGGGACTTTTGAATATTTGGGATGGTTTGCTTGACTTTCAGAAGTAATGATGTTGTTGACTTTGGGGAGGAAGCAAGGATAGGAAAAACATTCCTGTTATGTCAGGAAGCAAAGCCGAAAGTCCTGGCAGGAGGGGCCTCCATGGGGCCATGGAGCTGTCAGATCTGTTGGCCCTTCCCTTGGCTTAAAGCAGCAGAGGCACCGGGATCCCCGCTCAGCTCCTCTTCTGAAGGATACGCGCATGCGTAGAGATTTGAAATCTTGGCATGCCAATGGGAATCAGGCTCAGTTTGCCGTCACCAAGAGACTTTTATGTTATATAGATGGGACTTTAGGACCCATTTTGGTAGTTAGCTCACATAGGTTTGAAAACGTTTCTACGCACTCACTCTGTGGTATTTGCTATTTCTATTTAGTAACTGTGAGGAAATGTGCTCTCAAAGTGGAGAAATCATTCATTTTAGGACCAGTGGAAAAGGTGAGAACAGGTCATGCAAATAAAATTTCATGCTCCTCTAACATTACCCTGTTCCTTACATTTTTCTTGGACATTTGTAGATATGAGCAAAAGAAAAAAAATTGGTCTGATAACAGATATTTTTGGATGGGTCTACTTATGTTCTGGGCTTTAAAAAAGTCGAGAAACTAAGGACCATGTATGGGGGGCCCATAACTCAGAGATGGCTGCCCGTACTGTGAGCTTCACAAATCAGGGACTTGAACAAACTCTGGGATGCATGGCTAGCTCAGTGTGTTTCTGGAACATACTTTCCAGCTTTTGCATCATTACATGGGAAACATCAAATGGATACTCAATTTGGCACACTCCCACCCACCAAACTATAAGTTTCTCAGTGGACGTCTATAAAGTTCTCAAAGATCAGAAAATCTCTGGGTTCCTTGGGCAGAAAGCAGCCAGGGCACTGAGAGGGGACTCTTACTCCTCCACAGGAAATCTAACTGTCTGTGCTGTACTTCTAGAAGGCTCCTGACCACAGCCAGTGTAGGAAGCATGAGGTCTGATTGGAAACACCTGTTCGTCCTGCCCTGGAGCAGGACGCAGGCCTCCCCCGCCCACCGATGTGGGAAGGGCTACTCTTCCAGACATGTTCCAGACACGTCCTCACTGTCCAACTCCCACACCCAGCACTTTTTTATTTGTTGAGGTGATTTTTAAGTGCTTAGTGAATGAATCATCTTTGTAGAGTTTCCATGTAATTTGTCTGCAGAGTTTGTAATGAGCACTGAAAATATGTCTATGTACTTGGATTTCCTCCCATAAGAGACAAATCTATTTCTAGAGGGAAATGAAGGAAGCAGGATCCTCAGAGCTGGGAACAAGGCTGACCAGGTGGGTCACGCAGAAAGGACCGCTCGGGCCCTGAAAAAACCAAAGGGTACCAGGGAGGCACACCCCCAAAGGCACCCCACACTCAGCAGCAACACCACCCCTCCCAAGGGGGGACTCAAGCCACACCTGCCTGGGTTCACCTTCCGCCAGCTGAGGTGTGGAGACATTTATGTCGCCTATGAGCCTCTTTTCCCCCTTCCGAAAACGGGGTTGCCTGCTTTGGGACTGTGGCAGGAATTAAGTGAGTTACCACGGCTGGGACACCTGAGACGGGGTTCTGCACAGCGAGTGCTGTCCTTTCTGCCACCGTCCATTCTTCGGGACCTTTGTTCTTAAGTAATTGAAGGAACATTCAGTTGAAAACATGACACCCTGGTGGTCTCAAAGCATAGGACATCTGTTCAAACTGCAGAGCGTGAAGGGCTCTGAAAATCCATCTATCAAGTGAAATCTCTTGGATTTGGGAAATCCGCCTCTGAACTACCCCCCGCCCCAGCCCAGGAGGGGTGGCGCCAGCACCATCCTCCGGGAGAGCCACTGTGCTGCCTGGGGCCACCTAGAGCCAGTCGAGGGGGCAAGGGTCCAGCCAGGCCACCAGCCCCTCCTGCGGGTTCAGCTGGAGTGTCAGAGAGGGCAAGTTCAGAGCCAAGGAGCGCTTCCCATATTAGGAATTTTTCCGACGTGGAAAAATAATGAAATCACAAAGGAAGTGTTTGGGCCTAATCTTACATTGTTTATCAACATTTTACTGCAATTTATCACATTTCTGTGAGCACAAAATTAGCCTTGGTATGTTTTCTGGGATGTGTAGAAGATCTATCCTTCTTTCTTTCTTTCTCTCTCTTTTGCTCTCTTTTACTCTGTCTTTCCTTCTCCTTCACTCTTTCTAAAGGACTTTAGAACCATGATATTTCTAGGACATTTTGAGGTTCAAAGTCAGTGAGTCTATACTTCTTAATCTTATACCACCAGCATCGAAACCGTGTCCTTTGGGGACCTCACAACGTGCTCCATACATAACAGAATTAAGCTGGATGGACTAGGTCGGTCCTAAGAACCAAAACTGTCTCTTTGAAGCTGCGCACACAGGAAAGGAGACGGGCCTTCGGGTACCAACACTTTGAGAGAAGGATTCAGTGTGACGTGAAGCTCAGGGCCAGGCACACAGAAGTGGTCCGAGTCTTTGGGTGGTAGTTGCCAGACCAGCTCTCAGCTTTGGGGACCCCTGTAGCTAAAATCCTGCCCCACGCCAAGAGTCAGAGGAGAATGTCCTCTTGGCTAGAAACCTCAGCATGCCCTCAGAAAGCCAAGCTGGCAGTGTTGAGTTACCTTCCTCTTGCCATAAAGTCTTTTCTCACTTCCTATGTATTGTGGGCTTTCTTAAGAAGTGAGTCCAAGAGGAAGCTGTGACCTGAGTTTATTAGCTTAGCTCTGACTTCCAAAGAGAGCCCAAGCCGAGAGCCCAAGGAGAACTACAGGGAAACCTGATAGCGTAACGAGTTAGATAAGGGTTTCCATGCATGATTTTGAAAACCTGGACACAGGCTGGTGGTCGCAGCGTGCTCGCTGGGGACGGTGTGTGACATCCCCCCCTGTCCTGGCTGGGGCAGCTCACAGAGCAGGTGGCCCGCCAGCTGGGCCATACAGCTGAGCAGGGTTCTGCCAGCTGGAGAGGAGGCGAAGGGCCTTCCAAGGCCAGGCCGGGCATGGGCGAGGGCGCAGTGGTGTGATGGGTTGGGCACCAGGTTTTGGAAGGTCCGGAAGTCTTGCGTTGATGCCTGAGGTCTAGTGAAGCCATGTGGCTGGTCCCCTGCGTGGAAAGGAGCACATTTTAGTGTCTCATGACTGTCAACCCATCCGTTTACCTGTAGCTGCCATGTGCTCAGGTTCGCTGGAGGAAAAATGGGTTTCTGCAGTGCTTCTCACCCATGGGAGCATTGAGACGAGCTTCTCCATGACTGTCCATGCACACTGCCGACCCTCGGCTACTCTTTCCTTCCATCTGGGGCCTGGCTGAGCAGGGTGGAGACTGTGGTGACGTCTGGTGGCTTTGCTGTCACCATATCGCTCGCTGAGCTTCCCCTCTCCGTTCTTTTGAAGATCAGCCTAGGAAGTCTAGTTTCCTTGAACCCATATTTCCTTACCTTCTTGTTTCACTAACACGTTGTGTAGCCGCTGTCTGTCGATGCCGATGTCCTGGGCAGAGTCCGCACGCAGGGCTGGGCCCGGGACTGTCTCCCCTCAGCCCTCAAGCCCTTCCTAGGCTTCTCCACTCAGCCAGGCAGTGGCGAGTCACAGCATGGAAAATGCTAGCAGCTTTTCCACAGGGGCTGTCCTTCCGAGGCGTCTGGTCTGCACAGAGGGAACCCACCTAACATCGGCAAAGGCTTTCCCACCTGCTGCATAATAGTCAAAACCTATTTTTTAAATTGTGGTGAAATACACATAACCTGAAACATACTAACTTTGCCCTTCTGAAGAGCGCAGGACAGTAGTGCCACACGCATTCACCTTGTCCTGTGGCCAACCTCCTGGAGTCTTCACCTTGCTTTTGAAACCCTGTCCCCAGGAAACACTACTTCTCTGTCCCCGTCCCCCAGCCTCTGGCTCCCACCGTATGAGTGTCCTCATAGAGCATTTGTCCTCTTGCGTCTGGCTTAGTTCACTGAGCGTAATGTCCTTAGGCCTCCTGCATGTCAGAATTTCCTCTCCTTTTGGGGGCTGAATAATATTCCCTCATGGGTACGTACCACCTTTCTCTTATCCGCACATCCCTTGATGAACATTTGGGTTGCTTCCTCCTCTTTGATGACGGCGAATAATGCTACTATGGCTACAGGTCTGATTCTTTATGCAAATGCCCAGATGTGGAATTGCTGGATCATATGGTAATCCTATTTTTAATTTTTTGAGGAACTGCCAGTACCATCTTCTGTAACAAAAAAATGTTAAATGCCTTTATTCCGTAGTTCAGCAGTATCACAGTGATAACGATCAAAACCTCCCAACTCTTCTCACAGGAGGCTGACTCCCGTTCCTATCGCACAAGGAGTTAGTGGCTTGTTTGACTTTATTCAAAGTCTCAACATAAGGCAATGCTGAGCTGCATTCATTACATACAAAATGTGGCATTATTTCTGAATGTTTTCAATGGATATGTATAGATCTCATCAAGGATGCGGTTTTTGAAAGGTCGAACACAGGTTCAGCCAGGAGTTTACCAGGAGTAGCGCACTGCCAGTAGCTTCTGAATCAAAGGGACGTGAACTTGAACCTGCTTGGCTCAGCTACGTGCCCATGTGTGACTGTGTGCCTGTCACTGAGCTCCTCTGAGCTTCCAAAATAATACTTACCTTGCAGGGCTGCAAAGTGCCCAAACTCACAGCCTGGCAATGAGTAATCCCTGACTGGTGTCCCAGAAAGAGAAAAATAATGATTTCTTCCTGGAAAAATACAGGCTTCATGGTTTATAATGAGTTTGCCTATATAGTCTCTAACTCGAATTATAGCAGTTTATACTTTGTTTTATTTGTCAAAATAACCAGTCAGGCACAGGGTGATTTTCCCCCCTCCCATTTAAACAGTTCATCCTCTCTCTGCTGTCTTCAGGACCATTTTAATCTCTGTACAGAATTATAAGGGCCCTCCGGCCCCAGTCTGGGCTTGGATTCCCCTGCTGGGCCTTGGGCTGTCCCTCCAGCCTGACCACACCTCTGTCAGGGACCCCTCTCTCTCACCTCTCTGCTGTGTTCATGCTCTGTCTCTGTCTGAAAGTCCCTCTCCGGGCCCTCCGCCCACCTCCCTGCTGTCCATGGGCCATACACACTCAGCTGGTGTACCAGAAGTCTCTTCTGATCCCCTTCCCTCCATCTGAAACCAGAGTCCTGTCCCTGTCCTTGCAGCTGTTTCTCTGTCCTGCCCGGTGTCCCTGTGATTCTGCTCTCACACTTGATTTTGCTGAGTTCCTTCCGAGCTAAGCCCTGTGCTCTGTTTCTCTCTCTCCAGTTTTGCCAATGAGAAGCAGTAATGAGTCGCATGTTCTATGTTCCTCTTTCTTACAGACCACACCTCAGGGAAACCCATGTGTTTCTGGAAAGCACGTCTTTCTGACACATAGACACATACCTCCCCACACCTCAGGGAAACCCATGTGTTTCTGGAAAGCACGTCTTTCTGACACATAGACACACACCTCCCCACACCTCAGGGAAACCCATGTGTTTCTGGAAAGCACGTCTTTCTGACACATAGACACATACCTCCCCACACCTCAGGGAAACCCATGTGTTTCTGGAAAGCACGTCTTTCTGACACATAGACACACACCTCCCCACTCTCAATGGTCGTTCCAAAATGCAGCCAGAGGAATGCCCAGCCCTCCACGTTTCACAAGCAAGGTCACGGTCCAGGCATGCCCACGGGCCTCGGCCCCTCTCTGCTCCCTCTCTGCCCCGGGATGTGTAGGACTCGCCGGGGCTGTGGGTCAAGCAGAGCAGCTGCGATCCTCTCCCCCACCCTCTCACTGTGTCGCATGCTCTGGGTCTACAGGACTTGTCCTACAAGGACCGACACTGGCATGAGGCCTGTTTCCAGTGCTCTCGGTGCAAGAGCTCGCTGGTGGACAAGCCCTTCGCTGCCAAGGAGGACCAGCTGCTGTGCACGGACTGCTACTCCCACGAGTACTCCTCCAAGTGCCAGGAATGCAAGAAGACCATCATGCCAGGTCAGGAACGCGCCCTCCTTCCTCACGGTGCCACAGTGCATGCTTATTCTTTTCTTCCCTTCCACTTGCTGAATTCGTCCTCGCTGGGCTATTTCAGCAAAAAGGCATTGGGCCCCGCTGCATGCCTGGTGCTGGGCTGGGAGCTGGGCAGTCGCCGAGTAGTGAACCCAGGAGGCTCACCCCGTCCCCTGTCCTCCTGGACTCTGTGTGCCAGATGATGTTCATTCGGCACGCATGCAGACTTGATCACAGCCGGGTCAAGTGTTAAGTAATAAGGAGATTGGCTGTTACGGGGGAGGATGGCATGGTGTCCTTTGTTTCTTGGGCGAAGTTGGCTGGTTCTGTTCTATGGGAGAGAGGAAACTTTGATTTTAAAAAGCTGGGTGATTGAAAGTGTATAGAATTTTTAAATACGGCAGCAAAAAGTCTTGATAGGCACATCCAAAAATGAGGGCAAGGGGACTAACCACCCAGAGAAGGGCCTGAGATGTGGACCGTGGGCAGGTGAGAGGTAGGCATGACGGCTACACCTGGCTTACAGGCTGCGGACGACCCATGGTCTCTGTCGTCTGCGTGACCAGTTAATGCTACCAGAGGGGAGATTTGCCGGAGTCAGAAAACAAAAATACAGACTCGCGGTTCAGTCTGAGTTATAGGTAATTTTTTAGTCTCTGGCCCACGTGGGACGTTTTGAAACTGGCATCCCTACCAGAGAGTCCTAGGGACCCAGGAGAAAACACTGTGCAGTGCATGTCTGCCAGAGATGTGGCCCTCGCTGAAGGCAGAGTCGCATGAAGCATTGGCCAGGCCCCTGGAGTCCAGTCAGGTGCTGGGGACCCAGCCTGCAGTGAGTAAACGGAGGGCTTGGAGAGATGCGGCCCTGAGGCCTCTGGTCGGCGGGCGCCGGCTGAGCTTCTCCCATATCAGGCTCACGGGAGCGGGAGGGGCACTGGTCAGGCCCAGCCTTCCAGCTGCTGAGAAGCTCCAGCCAGCTCCCCCAGGGATGGGGCGGGGGGGTGCCCACTCACAGGACCGTCCCTGAGGATGCAGCGGGGAAGCATCCTTCATCCCAAGGAGGTCTGGAATTAAGGGCCGATATAGGAAGACATCAACACCATAGTAATAGTATGTTCAATCTGATGAAGCAGGTGTGAAGGTTTAAAAAAAAAAAAAAGTGGTCTAAGGAGTAAATTAGAGTGTACGTGATTTAGGCTTGTGATTTAGAATGGGAATTTCCTTAATTTATCGCCTATCGTGGTGCTCAGGGTATCTGATGATTTATCCTATTCACAAGCTTAACTCGTTTCAACAACAATCACTTAAGACCTTGAGGTTTGGTTTGTTGGTTGAGGTTGTTTTTTTTTTTTTTTTTTTAAATAGATTTTTTTTTTTTTAAAGATTTTATTTATTTATTTGACAGACAGAGATCACAAGTAGGCAGAGCAGCAGGCAGAGAGAGAGGGGGAAGCAGGCTCCCCGCTGAGCAGAGAGCTCGATGTGGGGCTCGATCCCAGGACCCTGGGATCATGACCCGAGCCGAAGGCAGAGGCTTAACCCACTGAGCCACCCAGGCGCCCCAGGTTGAGGTTTTTTTAAAAGGGGTATCAAACACGTGAAGCTTTCAAGTGTTGTTTTAAAGGAGTTGAGGTCTGGAGGCGCCTGAGTGGCTCAGTCAGCTGAGCATCTGACCCTTGATTTGGGCTCAGGTCCTGATCTCAAGGTGATGAGATCGAGCCCTCATAAGATTCTCTTTCTCCCTTGTCCTCTGCCCTCCTCCCCCACTCATGCATGTATACACACACACACTCTCTCTCTCTCTCTCAAAAAATAAAATCAGGGACACCTGATTTTATTGGTCGGTTTAATGTCCATTTCTTGGTTTGGGCTCAGGTCATGGTCTCAGGGTTGTGGGGTTGAGCCCTGCGTCAGGCTCCAAGCTCAACGGGAAGTCTGCGGGAGTTTCTCTTTCCCTCTCCCTCTGCCTCTCCCCATGCGAGTGCATGCACTCTCTCTCTCGCTCTGTGCCTGCTCTCTCAATCTCTCTCTCTCTAAAATAAATAAATAAACCTTAAAAAAAGTAAATTAAGAAAAAGAAAAAGGACTTGAGGTCTGTACCTTAATAAATAGAAGTAAACACAGAGATCCCTTAGGAGTGATTTTTAAAAATTCACCGTATTTGTGCATGCCGTGATGAGATGTGTCAGAGGAGCTGGGGTTGAGGGTTTTGAGCTGGTTGCATCAACAGATTGAATGTTGATTTTTTAAAACCCTGGCGGCCAGCGGAGTCACAGTATTTCACGCAGTAGCTGGGTTCACGCCGACGTGCGACAGGAATTAGGGTTTCCCTGGTCATTTAGAGCCAAACTCTTTAGTGGAATCCTCCTTGCCACGACCCAGAATTTTCCTTTGATTTTTGGTTTGCTTGGTGTTTTGCAGTGAAGAGATGCTAAAGGGTTTTTGAGCAAGAGATTGATGTGCGGGAAGTATTATTTTAGGGAGATAAGTTGGATAAGGAACCCAAGCTTACAATTTTGTGGTGTGTGATTTAGCTGCTTCTGGTGACAAGTGCCTAAGTTTGGGCGGGGCGGGGGGGCTTCAGTTCTCCATGGTGAACTATCCAAACAGTAAGCTCCTTCAGGTGTCTGAAGGGTCCCGGGCCAGCCCCACAGGTGCGGGTGTCAGGGATATTCGTGACCTCCCACAGCCTCCCAGAGCTCTAGTGCAGTGGGACCCTGTCCCCACCTGGTCCTCCAGGTCTGCCAATGAGAGAAAGGGAGGCAGATGAGACGGAAGTGTTCCTTGCCAAAGGCCAGTGCACTGCTGAGGGGGAGCAAACGGGCCAGCAAGCAAAACCAAACAAAAGGCAAACAGTGAGCAAGTTGGGGAGCAGAAGTCTCTGGCAGCCGGGGACCCAGGGAGGTGTGGAAGGGCATGGAAATCGGCAGAAAATCGCCAAAGAGGAAGAGAGTGAGGACGACAGCAATGAAGAGGAGGAGGAGGAAGAGGAGGAGGAGTCCGAGTCAGAGGCCAAATCTGTTAAGGTGAAAATCAAGCTCAATAAGAAAGACGAGAAAGCCCGGGACAAAGGCAAAGGCAAGAAGAGGCCGAATCGGGGAAAAGCCAAGCCTGTCGTGAGTGATTTCGACAGTGACGGGGAGCAGGATGAAAATGAACAGTCAGAAGCAAGTGGGACTGATGATGAGTGATCAGTGTGGACCTTCCCCCACCCCACCCCCACCTCGGTAGAACTGAACTCCTTCCTCCCCTCTCTCATTTCTACCCAGTGCGTGCATTTGTCCTACGGGCACTGGGTTGTTTCTGTATCATCCTCATCTGTCAACTAGCTTTAGGATAGTGCCCGACAAATATATGATATCATGGTGTAAAAACACAACACGCACAGACACGCACATAGACACACACACACACACACACAAATATTTGTAACATATTGTGACCAAATGGGCCTCAAAGATTCAAAGATTAAAACAGACAAAGCTTTTGATGGAAAATATGTGGGTGGATAGTATATTTCTATGGGTGGGTCTAATTTGGTAATGGTTTGACTGTTCCTGGTTTTATCACCTGTCCAGATGAAAAGTTTTTGTTTTTTGTTTTTTGTTTTTAAAAAAAAAAGGAAATTGTAAGAGCATTGACAGTTTTACACTTAAAGGACCTTAAAGTTCACCTGTCTTGTCTCCGCAGTGAAGAGACCAGGAAGTTCGGGGGCGGACCCCTGGGCTATTGTCAGTGGCCCAGCCAGGATTAGGACCTTGTCCAGAACTCTGGTCTCAGAGCTTTGAGCTACCTTCTCAACTAGATAACAGAAGGTGGAGGTGGACCAGGAGGTGGACCAGGAGCTGGCGGGTGTGAATGGTGGTTCATTCACAAGGTGGGGTAATAGGACACCCAGGATAAACCTTCACGGAATGGGATGCTCAGGGCCTCCCTAGGAGGAGGACAGAACAGCAGTGTTGGCATCATGTCCTGTTGAACATCTTCGTGTAGCCCGAGTGAGTTGGACGCAGATGGGGGGGGGGGTCCCTCTTTGCTGAGCAGTAGCTGGGTGAGCACAACCACTTGGGAGCTGGGGGAGTCTTGGTTTCCCCGCCCCCACCCCTGCTGGTCTGCGTCACTTTAAATTCAAAAGCAGTCCTACAGAAGCCATTTTCCCGCCCTGTGGTGTCTGTCCTGGCTCCCCCTCACTGTGGCACTCCTTCCCTGAACCATTTCTCAGGGAAAACCTAGAAACTGACAGCTTGGGGTTTCAGCCTTCCTGTTTCCTGGCTGTGACTTTTCACCAGTCGTTGCCCCTCACTGAGACTTGAGGAGAGAAGCCCGTCTTGTACCCGCCATGATGGAGACATGGGCCCAGGGCAGGGTCAGGAAGGGACCCTGGGGAGGTCACATTAGACCAGTCTTAGAGGATGAGCTGGGTTTCTTCGACCAATGGAGAAGTCTCAAAAAGGAGGGCCCTCTGGCAGAGGACATGGGCTCAGCACCAAAGGCAGTGTGTGTAGATGCTTGGTGAGACAGATTGAGATGGAGAGAAGTTGGGCAGGGGAGGGAAGGACAGGGGAGGGTGGGAGCGGGGAATGGAGAAGGAAGGGATGGGAAAGAAAAGAAAGGAAAAAAAGGAAAAAAATGTGCTGAATCATAGCATGTGCTACTTTGGTCTGATTTTTGGAAGTGCTACCAGGAAATCACGATGTGTGGGCGTGCAGGTCGTCAGCTTGGCTGTGGCAATGAATTTAAGTAAAACAAAACAAGAGGCCTGTGCTGACTGACCAACTCAAACCTGACAAAAGCCCCCAAAAGTAGCCAGGAACCTAGAGACCGCCACAAGCCATAGGGTTGAGGCTCCCCGGCTTCTCGGCTACTAAATGAGCCTCTGTTTGCAGAGGACCCTTGCAGGAGCACCACTGCCTCTGAGCAGACTCACAGGAACTCACCCTTTACCACTGTTGTCGGTTCCTCACTTGTTTGTTTGAAACAGAAAAAAGACACCCCTTCATCAGGACCTTGTACTCCCATCAGCCGGAGAAGCAGCAAGGTCTGTTAGAAGAAGGACCTTTGCTGCCCCCTGCTGGCCGTGTTGTACAATAAACTCGGCAGGTGTCTGGAGGCTGCTGGAAACCACCCAAAAGGGCTGCAAGTGCCGCCCCTCACCCCCCCCTCCTGCTCCCCAGGGTTCCTGACTGGTGATAATAAAAGACCATTATTCCCCAACACGCCAAGAACGAACTCACGTGGTCTTGCTTGCCGTCTTCAGTGAGCATACAGTTGCCCTGTGTTCATTGACAAGATCCTTTGGTTTTTGAGCGGCTTTATCGGGGGAAGGTGGGAGAGTAAAAGAGCAAGGAGCAAAAATACGCATGGGAAGATAAACCCCTGGAGACAAAGAAAATCATTCTAGGTTTAGATCACCAATCTTCCACTATTTTTACCTGACATTCTGTTGCTCAGTGTAATTCTCCTTGTGTCAGGGCTCATCACCCCACGACTGGACTCTGCAGCTTTGAAGACCGTTATGTGCCTCCCCCACCACGTATGCCCCCCCCCATCCCTAGCTTCCAGCACCTGCACCCAACCTGAGTATTGTATGTACTCTACGGGAGGTGGTGCCCAAATGCCCTGGCTTGGAAGTATAGGAAGCGGAGAAAGTGACCCGAAAGTGACAGCGAATAAATAATCATGCGACGATTCTCTGCACATATCCTTTCTCAAGAGATGGACAGCTCTTTGTCAACCTTGCAAGCCGACAAAATGCAGCCCTTAAGCTCATCCTTTTGACTATATATATCATCTTTGGACTTAAGCTAAAGTTTGGCGCGTTTCTAGACTCTGGCTGCCCGTGTTATGCCAGGCAGCCCTGGTTCGAAGCTGGTGCTCCTTCTTGCACCCTCACTCCCCCATGGCCCGATCCCACTGTGACGTCTGACCGCTGCATCCTACATGCCTCAGCCCCAGACTTGCAGTGAGCCCAGGGTTGGCTAACATGTTTCCAGAAAGAACCAGACAAATATTTGGGGTCTCGAGGGCCATGGTTTCTGTCCCAATGACCCATTCTGCCATTGTAGTGTGAAAGCAGCCGCAGACAATTGAAGTAAGGGAACAGGTGGGGCTGTGCCCCAGGAAAACCCTGATGGTAACACGAGGTAGTGCAGACCGTGCATGGGCTGTAGGCGGGGTGCCCAGCCTGGAGCCCACTGAAGTATTTGGAGAATTTTGGGGTTTTTTTTTTCACTCCTTACCCTCCTTTCCCCACAAACTTGCCTTGTGTTGCATGCAAAGGGGGTTTGCACACCGACCTGTCTTGAACCATTTCTTTCTGTAAATACACATACTTTTATTCTCTTGAAAAAGTATGGAAAAACATTAACAAATACTGAATACTGTGACTCCAGCTTGGTGGTGGGAGATGGGATGAGCCAAACAGTGTTTCTGGTTCTCTAGGACTTCCTGAGCTCCTTGAAGAAATCACGTAAACATATCAAATGATAAGTTACTCGAAAGGAAATGCGAGATCAGAACAGAAAATTGCTAAATTGCTAAATGGGATGTCTGAGTGTCACATGGATTTTATTTATTTTTTTTAAGAATGTATTTATTTGAAAGAGAGAGAGAGTGCACACAAGCAAGGGGAGGGGCAGAGGGAGAGGGAGAAGCAGACTCTCTGCTGAGCAGGGAGCCCGACACGGGGGCTCGATCCCAGGAGACTGGGATCAGGACCGGAGATGAAGGCAGAAGCTTAACAGACTGAGCCCCCCCAGGTGCCCCACATGTGGCTTTTAATGATAGCACTCAGTCATCACTTTTAATGGTAGAGCTACGACATATCACGGCTTGGTTTCCGCGGCAGGTCACATGAAGCGAGTACCATGGAGGCTCCTCGAGGACTCCGGCTTGAGACTCCAGGTTCATGTACGCACCACTGATTTCCATCCCACTGCAAAACAGAAGAGTATTCATTAATGGGCCACTGAGCTCTGGAATTCCCACTCTATCCAGATAGTCTGAGCCCTGCCAGAATTCTCTGTTTTGCAGTCCGGAGAGACAGAGACAGATACTTTTTCTACTTCATGTTCCTAACCTCCTTTGGGACAAATTACATACTGAGTACGCACAGAGATTGTTCTGGAAGCTGGGTGTACAGCAGCGAACCCAGAAACACAGAGTCCCTGCCCTCTCCAAAACAGACCCATTTCGAGGCGAGTCTTTGAGAGCTAAAGTGACTTGCTGGAGTCACCAAACTAGCCCGGGGGCAGGTTCTCCACGTGGACAGCAGGGACTCCGAGCCAGCCGTGTCGTCAGCTCTGCCCTTTGCTGCTTCTTGCCAACTCTCATGACAGGTACCCGCAAGATGGAGTACAAAGACAGCAGCTGGCATGAGACCTGCTTCGTCTGCCGCCGCTGCCAGCAGCCCATCGGCACCAAGAGCTTCATCCCAAAGGACAACCAGAACTTCTGCGTGCCGTGCTATGAAAAACAGTACGCCTTGCAGTGCGTTCAGTGCCAAAAGGTATCTCTCATCCTCCCTTGACCTTATCCGTTCCAGTCCATTTGCCTCCACAGCCCTTGGCTTCAGGCCTCCTTCCCCCAAGTGACGACACCTGTGGTACCTGAAGGGCACAAGAGTCTTGCTGGGCTGGCCCCCCATCCCAAAATTCTCTTGCTCGAGTGTGCATTTACCCCCGGACGGACCCCCCACTCCAGGCCTTCTTCCCACAACGCGACCAGAGATAAAATCCTGTGTCCCTCCCTCCTTCTAGAACATTGCCAAATACTTGCTCCTGTTTGTGACATATGTTAAAGGCGAGGAAAACTTATTATCCCAAAGCGATCCCGTTACCCTTGCACTCCATCAGTGAACAGGAAAACTCCAGGGAGGGAGGGAGGGATGTGAGGAGCAAAGGGAGGCTGTGCCCCATGGACAGGGCCCAGGTTGCTAGCTGCACACTTGCCCCCTCGGTCCCGGTGACCTCCTGTCTTGGCTGTTGGGTTACAGAGGGAAAAGGAGCCCACTGTAGAGCAATTGCACACTATTTGGCTCCGGCTCTATTACGGACTCCGCTGTTGGGCCTGTGGGGGCCCAGCCTGGCCTCTGGCTGCTGTTCCGCGCGAAGGTCAGCGGGGCGTCAAGTGCCCGTCCTGCCAGCACCTCTTCAAAGGGCAGAGTGGCACACTAACTACAATCTTAAATTCCCCTTCTCCCAGTTCCTGCGCTAAGATTATACTGTTTATCTACTGCCTCCTTCGAGAAACCTCCTGTGTTTATGTCAGCAAACCTCTTCTCCTCTCACCCCCTCTCTGTTTGGTCTGCCTGCTGTCATCAAGAGCCAAGGAAAGTTCATGTCATTTGCTTTTCTTCCACTGTGCTCCTCCCAACCTTATGGCTGCCTTGTTTGGCCGCGGAAGTGAAGGTAGCCCATCCTCTGAGAAGCATGGCCTTGTGTGTGTTCATCCGGACGCAAGAAAGCCTTCAGGCCAGAAACATCCATTACCCGCTAAGGGAGGGAGGCCCTCGGGGCTACTAGGGTCTGGGGGGAAATGCAGTCCAATGGCAACATTCAAATGCTTATCGACAAGTGTGCCTTGGAGGAGAACAGAGCAGAGTGTATACGGGCATGATCTGAACTAATTGGGAGTGGGAGCCAGGCTGGTGTTTAGGAAGAGATACTCTGAGACAGTAACACCCAGGAGCAGGTCTGAGCTAGCCGGGGGACATGGAATCCAGACACAGGGAAGACAAGGGTGTGTGCCAGGCAGAGCAAACCTCTTATTATACCTGCCCTCTGTATCCAGCAGATACTTTACAGCCGAATTTATTTTGCATACATTCTGATCCAAGGGGGATATTTATAGGATGATCATTATTACTTTATAGTTTAATGAAAAGAATATAAGAGAAAGAGTCCTGAACCCTGGCACCTGCTTTTTCTTTAGCTATGAATTCTTAGGCAAGTCCCTGCATTTCTCTGGGTCTCAGTTTACTCACCTGTAAAATGGAAATCATGTCTATAAAATGTAAGGGCCTTTATACAGTCAATCCGTGAACAACAGGGGGGCCAGGGGTACCAAGCCCCCTGCGCAGTTGAAAATCCACATCAAATTTTGGACTCCCGGAAAGCTTACCTACTAAGAGCAGGCTGTTGGGGCGCCTCGGTGGCTCAGTTGGTTAAGTGACTGCCTTCAGCTCGGGTCATGATCCCAGGGAACTGGGCTTGAGCCCGCATGGGGGCTGGCTTTTCCCTCTCCCTCTGCTGCTCTGCCTGCTTGTGCTCACTTGCTCTCTCTGTCAAATAAATAAATAAAATCTTTATGAAAATAAGTAAGGGCGGGCGATTGACCAGAAGCCTCGTTGATGGCATAAATAATCAGTGCTCGCGTATGTGGTAGGTTCTGTGTATCCTCAATACACAGAATCCTTACAATACAGTAAGCTAGAGCAAAGAAAACGTTAGGAAATTATAAGAGGAAAACCACTAGGCAGTCCCACGCTGTGCTTAGTAGAAGTGCGCGCAGGCGCAGACACGACCCTCGCGGTGCCCCCGGCACCTGTACGCGCTAGCGGCGGCCATTTCTCTGTGCCTTTTCCCCCACACGCCCGTCGGGTTCAGGAGGGGGATCTCGCGCCACCCAGAACCACCCTTACCCGGGGGGGCCCTGGAACGCTGACTGTGGCTTCCTTGCCTCCTCCAGCCCATCACCACCGGGGGCGTCACATACCGGGAGCAGCCGTGGCACCGGGAGTGCTTCGTGTGCACCGCGTGCAAGAAGCCGCTGTCGGGCCAGCGCTTCACGTCCCGCGAGGAGTTCCCCTACTGCCTGAGCTGCTTCTGCGACCTGTACGCCAAGAAGTGTGCCGGCTGCACCCACCCCATCAGCGGTGAGTGTCCTGACTCGGGCTCCCGGGCAAGGGTTCCCGCTGGGCTCGCGCGAGGCAGCAGCCCTTCCCCACGGGGCCACCGTCAGGGTTGGACCAGGGGCACGACTGCGGCCCCTGACTTTGCCTCCCCTCCGAAACTGAGACTCGGGGGCCTCCCTGAGGTTCCCGGATGGAGCCGGTGTTTTTGCGGCCACGCTCGCCTGGCCTTGTGACACGGGCGGGGACCGCCGCCGCAGGTAGCACTGCCCTTCTAGCTCAGCCGGTCCCTGGAAACCACGTGGCCTGTTCTCAAGGGGTCTTGTTTCTGCCCTCGGCTGGATTTTCTCCAAAACCGCAGTCTGTGCGCATATGGCCCGCGGGTGAGCACCCAGCAACTGGCATTTCCGGGCTGAGCCGCGAGGCTGCGTTTCTAAAGGGGCTTCCTAGGGGCGCTGCCTCCTGCTTTTGGCGATCTCATGGTGGTGAGATCAAGCCCCATGTGGGGCTCCACAACCACCCCCCCGCCCCCGCCACGGTGCGGAGTCTGCTTGAGATTCTCTCTCCCATTTGTGCTCCCTTTCTCTCTTTGCTCTCAAAATCAATGAGTAAATCTTTAAAAAAAGGATAATAAATGTGCTCCCTGGCATCTTAGAGGGACTTGTCGACCACAAGGCCATAGCTACATGAGGGCAGAAGACAACATTCTAGGCGGTTCTTTCTTATCCCCCAAAGGCTGGGGCAGACCGAGAGCCCAAAGCCTGGTTGGTTGCAGTCTGGTTGCAGACCGGCATTGCACCAAACTCTTGGACTTGCCGAGAAATCGAGCGTGGAGGGCAGACGGCTGGTCAGACTCCAGCCCTGTAAACGTGCACCACGCATCACCACACAAATCCGTGACTGGGCCAGAAGGGAAAGAGAATTCCGTGAGGACACAGGAAGAGTTCTGGGTCATGGGACTCCCAGCTCTGCCACTTTCAGGTGACTGGCTGATCCCTGTCAATGGCAGGTGGCCGACACGTGTCATCTAAGCACCGTAGCCTGGAATCCCTGTGTGGCGCCACTGTGTGGTCACACAGACATTTTACAGCCCGTGTGTGCTTGTCCCGGACTTTCCTTTTCCTGGGTTCTAGAATTGAGCGCACTCACCTCAGCCAATGCCCCTGATGTAGGAAGCCCCAGGTCACTAAAATCATCCTTTCCTGGGTAATCCAGAGCTCGTATTTCCATAAGGAATTAAAATACAAAGAAAAGAAGCACAGCATTTAAATTTTTCCGTTAGCCTGATTCCAGCCATTTATATACCAGACTGGAATCATTCACGGGGAAGAAATGCAGTCTTTTCCCCTAACATATGCTGTTTTCATGGTAATGCCTATGAAAGTAAATGTTTATAAAATTAAACCTTATAAAGCAGTGTAATTTAGATAAAAGCACTTTTAAATGTAAAGTATCAGATATGTGTTATTCCCATGGTAGCACTAAAAAAAATTTAAAAGAAGAAGAAGAAAGAAAACAACACAAGGAAAACTAATGGACACTTTCCTCCAAAAGAGGAAAGTTACTTCTCTGGAACGCAGAGATTAATGTTCTGGAACCTACAGAGGAATTTTGAAATTGCAGTTAAAATGTACTTGTAGCCAAATCCCCAAACAATTGTTTGAGATTGTGACTTTAGATTGGATTTTTAATGGATCCTTACTTAGCATTTTCTCTTTAGCAACAATTTAAATGATTTTTGTAAGTAAATCTGAAGTTCTACTTTCCCGCATTCTGTGCACAGTGATGCAAAATCCACACACAAATACAGTCAGTCTTCATTATTCAGAGTCCAGACCTACAAATTCGCCTACTCACTAACATTTATTTGTAACTCCAAAATCAGCACTCGAGTTGCTTTCGTGGTCATTCCCAGACACCCACAGAATGGCAAAACATTTTGAGTCATCTGACACATACGCTCCCAGCGGAGGTGAGGTGAGGGGACATTCTGCCTCCTCATTTTGATTCTCATCTTATAACCAAGGGTCCTCTTCACGGACTATTTACTGCCATGTTGTTTGCATTTTTGTGCTTTTTGTTGGCAGTTTCGATGCTGAAAGTGGCTCCCAAGGGGCAGTGCGGACAGGCTGTCTGTGTTCCTAAGCACAGCAGGTTGTGAGGTGCCTTACGGAGAAAATGCACCTGTTAGATGAGCTCTGTTCAGGCTGGAGTTCTGGGGCCATTGGCCATAAACCTCAAATGACAATAGTTGACTGTGTATGCCTCTCCCCTTTAAGAGCATTCGTCCTCCTTGGGCTGTTTTTGATTCTCATTTCTGTGACTTGCCCCATTGATTGTTATTTCAAGGAAACAGTGGAGTTTCTAAAAGGAGGCTATCCCCTGGGACGTCACCCGACACAGCATCTCCCACTAACATCCTTCTTCATCCTCTCCCTGCCAGGGCTCTTCCTGGCCCCAGATCTCCAGTGTAGCAGGACTTAATCAGAGGTGAGACAAAGGAGAGACATGGAATGGCAGAAATGCTGGGGCATCCCAGCCGCTTCTTGGCTTTTCAGTTTGCTCAGTGCTGAGAAAACAAAAAACAAAAAATGACCTTTCAACTGTTCTGCAGTCCCTGCCGCTAAATCAAGTGTTGCCAAAAACCTCTGGTTTCCAGACTTGGCTACATATTCGAAACACCTTGGGGAGCTTAAAAAAATGACTGCTGCCTGGGTTGCGATTTAATTGGCAGGGGCTATGACCTGGGTGATAGTTGAAGCCTGACAAGCTTCCCAGGTGATTCAGATCTGCAGGAAAGTTTGAGACCCATGGGCCTAAATCACAGGTTTGGTGCCGCTGCAGGCCCAGCGCAGAAGCTATGTGACCACAGCACTTAGGGGTCCGGGATGCGTAAAGGCAGTCAGTGTTTTAGTGAATATTGAGGGTATCTCTGCTTTTCAATCTGTGGGAAAAGAGTCAAAAAGCTGTGCTAGTGCATACCCCACCAGTGCCACAGGGCTAGGGTGACACTGGAAGGAGCACTGAACTTGAACTGAAGCAGTTTCTAACTAGCTGGGGAGATGGGGGGGGGTTGTGGCTAGCTTGCAGGTCTCCCCTAGGTGAAAGACTGAAAGCCCCACATCAACCTAGCCGGCTCTGTTACAAAAGGAACCACCTGCTTGGTGCATAACAGACTTTTCAGGCTAGCATGTGGATAGCTTGAGACTTTAAGCCCTTATAAATGGAGCAGTCAAGGCGGTTGCTTTCTTTTTACTGTGGCAGATTGAACCATTATTTCTGGAAAGAACTCTTTGTAATTGGAATTCATGATCCAGAGTTCAGCGGAATGGATCATGACTTCTAATAACCCTGGGTATTTGATTCCAGTTGATTCCAGGTGGCTCAGGGGCGGGACCAAGCAATCATGTGGTAATAGGCGGCCGGTGTACCTTAAGCATTTGATGAGAATTCATCATCAAACAAGAATCAAGCACCGAACTGAGTTATTACTTCTCTTGTTTAAAATATAATAAGCTGGTCCTCTCTACTGCCCACACACCGGAATGCGCTCCCACACACCCTAGCAGCCCACCTTCCCCCTCTCACACTTAAGTTCATACTTTATGGCCTATCTCATGATATTCGCTCTTCAAGAATGGCCACCCCCCACATCCACATGCCATTTCTTTAGTGAGGCCCTTCCTGGCCATTCCAGAGAAAGTGCGTATTTACCTCTTAGGTCCCTTCTGCACTTCATTCATGAAATCACGAAATAATTGAGCGCCAGACACGAGGCACCCAGGGAAGAAATAAGAGACACCAGCTCCAGATCTCCTAGAGTTTCATTCTGGTGGGACAGAGAGACAGACACAATCGTCCCTCCATAATTAGAGCTCTAATCATGTCGTTTTGGAGCTGGTTTGTGTATCTGTTCCTGCCCATAGTACGAGCTCCGCAGGGTGTCTGGTTGACCTGTGGATTGCCAGCCATTAGAAACTCACACTCTCCAGACTACAAAATCCAGCTTTGAAATGGCTCAAACCAGAATTCCTTCGTTGGTCCCGGAGGCCTGGTTCTCCCCAACCACAGTCCCTTTCTCTTTCCACCCTGGTGTTCTTTCTTCTCTATTAACAGGACTTGGTGGCACAAAGTACATCTCCTTTGAGGAACGGCAGTGGCATAACGACTGTTTTAACTGTAAGAAGTGCTCCCTCTCACTGGTGGGGCGAGGCTTCCTCACAGAAAGAGATGACATCCTGTGCCCTGACTGCGGGAAAGACATCTGAAGCCCACACAGCTGCTTATGACATGCACGGATTTAGACACTCTCATTCTCCACCAGGCAGTGTTGTGTCTGGTCTCCACCGGCCATGCTGAAACTTTCCTCTTGTGCTTCTCAGTGATGTTTGCGTTTGTTTAAACCCTTTAATCCTTTGTACTAGCTCAGTCCCAGGGAAGGAGGAAACCCTTCTGTAAACCCGTGGTGGGAAGATGATGTTGAATTTTCATAATCAAGCAGGGCAATTCCAAGTGTAAAAATCCTTTTGAATGACATCTTTATACATGTACCTTTCTTTCACTACGTATTTAATTTTTAAGTGCAATTAACACATCACGAACTTGAGTTTCCCGAACTACATGAGATAATGAAGAGTGGGCATTTACAACTGTGTAGCTTCCTGTCATGTAAGACCTAGAGCAAGATCATATAGCTTACAATAAAGTTATCCAGAACAAAATCCTTGGCCACACACAGTGCGTGAAATAATGATTAAACATCGAAGTTCTGAGCATTGCGGTATAAGGCACGTTATTGTATGTTCCACTGATCACTATATGAAGTACAAGTTCAGACAGGCTGGGGCAGCATTCACAGAGATCCATCACACCTTTCATTTCAAAGAAAGCCTTCCGTCAGCACCACAACCTCTTCCGGGCTCCCTTCTCTTTGTTCCTCTCTCCCAAACTCTCTTTCTCAGAATTTAACGCTCTGCATTGGATGAAGTAACAGAAACTTCAGAACGTGAGCAGCAGAATATGAGCTAATGACAGTGAAGGCAGTTGGGGGGGTCACTTCTCTTAAAAAGAGCTCAAGGCTTTCCCATTGCCATGGGTCCCTATCCTACCCCAACCTGCCCTCTCCATAAAGTGAAGGATCATGAAAGGATACAAGCACCTCGAGGTCAGAGATGACCTCTTGCTCATCTGTGTATTCCCACTACCCCAGAAATTTAGGGCATTGCTTTGGAAGCCTCTGTTGTTTCTGAAAGGAGAGGAAAGAGAGAGAAAAAGAGAGAGACCCTCAGCTCTCAAATCTTAATGATTTGAGCTCCTAGCTTGGCATTCATCTATAAAACCATCCGTGAAGGCATGGTGTAGAGTTGGGAAAGCACTGAGCCAATTTGTGAGCTAGGGCATTGCCTGTGCCCCTTTCTAGAATGCTAACAATAGTGACTTTTGTCCTTAGTTTTCTAAGGTGGTGTAGTACCATAAAACGACTTCACACATGCTCAGCATGGCTGGGACTTGATTTCCACCAACGTCCCAGCCATGCTGAGCATGTGTGAAGTCAGTTTCTTAATCTGAGTGCTGGACCACATAAGAAGTGTATGGTGATGTCTGAGACAGGCCTTCTGAGAACTCCATGGCTCAGTAGTTCTCTTGCCTTCTACGTCATATTATAAAAGTGAAAGCATTCCTGGAGTTGTGCTTTTTAAAGTGAAAATAACAAAATCCAAGACAAAAAGGTGAAAGCTTTGGAAATGTCATTGTGGAACACCTTACCTGTTCCTCATAAGAACCACAGATACACTGAACACACCTGACCTTAAATTAATAGAAGGAGGATCTCCATTTCTAGTAAGTAGCTCCTACTGGACTCCAGTAATCTTCTGGACAAAATATTTTAAGACTTTTGAAAACACCAGAGCATGATCCAAGACAGGAATACTTGAGAGAGCAGTGGACACCTGAAGAAGGGAAAGGCAATGGGTAGGTTTCCCATTTTTATGGCTTTTAGCCAAAAGCAGGCCCCAAAAGGGGGAGCTAAAACTCTGTTAGAAAGTCTGCAGTCTTACTGGCTTGAAGAACCAGAGGCCAGAGCTTGGGACAAATAACATCTGGGAAGTTAAGGCGGGAAATGGTATGAAAAAGAAACCCAAGTTCTTTGTATGAAAACCCTATCCATCTCTGGCTGACACCTGAACCACACATTAAGAGGCTAGACCCCAAGCAGCCCAGCCAAGGCTCAAAGAACAAAGTTGGGGGACTGCAGGATGGTGGTGTGCAGAACCCAGTGACTGTCTTCCCAGTGTGACAACCATTTAACTGGGAAAACTGTGTGTGTGTTGGGGGGGTGGGTATACGCATACCAAATAAATATTTTCGAATCTTGGAAAATCACCCTAAAGGTGTGCAGCAAGTGGAGAAACATTTGGGAAAATCTACATGTTAAGAAGAAGAGAGAGGGTCTATGGCACTTGAGCCATGGACTGATCCCATTCCCCACCCCCTTCCCAGTTTCCTGAGACAGCAGCTCTACTCTGGGCAAGTGCAGTCAAGAAGGGAAGGGCTCCTCCTACTGGTGTAGGGCTGTGCCCCAAGCATGACAGTCTGCAAATCCTGGGGCTCCGATCACTCCTGAACTACACTGCCCATAGGGTGGGGGCTCCAATTAAGAGGGGCTATCTGAGAAGACCCGAGGCTACCATGCTCCTAGGAGTAGGATTGTGTGAAGACATTTATCAGAATGATGTTGGCACGTTCTGCTAAGAATACCAGTCTTCCCTATCCAGCATTTAACTCATGGAGGAGTGTTGCTCCAGGACAAGCAGGACACTGTCCAAGCCCAAGGTGTGGGTTGGAGGGGCAGCTCTGTAAACTAGTAGCTCGCATCTCTGCAGGAAGGGACTGTTTGGTACCAAGAACGGAAGAATCTGTGCTACGGGGATTATGAAAGACAATGGGGATTCTGGTGGCAAGCAGTGGCTAGCAACGTGATAGGAGCTGCAAAAGGCAAAATGGCAGACCAACCAGAAGTTTAACTGAGAACCAGGGAAAGAGAGATGGGAAGAGCTGTCCTGGGATCCCATTTATCGCTGGGTCCAGGAGACTGTGGGCATGGACTGGGTCACACCCACTCAGGAGCAAAGAGTGGGACATGGAGTGGACCTGAAAGCATTCTCTACGCCACATGCAGATCATCGGCAAAGAGCAGAAGTCTCATTAGCTCAAAGAGCTTAGGCAGAACCTCTAACCAATCTCCAACACTGGCCAAACATATAAACATGTTCAAAGAATTAAAGGAACATGTATGACAGCAATGCTCACCAAACAGAGAACACCAATAAAGGGATAAATGTTATAAAAAGAGCAAATGGAAATTCTGGAGTTGAAAAGTACAATCACCAAACAGAAAATGCACTGGAGGGGATCATACATTTGAGTTGAGGGAAGAAAAAAGAAAAAAACAGTAAACTTAATAAAGACCAACTGAGATTATAATTTGAAAAACAGGGAAAATGAAGAAAAATTAACAACCTCAAAGCAATGTGAGATACCCTTAAGTGAACTAACGTATGTATAATGAATGGAAGCATCAGGAGGAGAGAGAAAACGGACAGAAAAAAAAAAACAAAAAAAACCCAACACTTTAAGAATGGCTGAAAACTTCCCCAAATTTGATGAAAAAATTTTAATCTAAAAACACATCCAAGAGGCACCTGGGTGGCTCAGTCTGTTAAGCATCTGCCTTCTGCTCAGGTCATGATCCCAGAGTCCTGGGATAGAGCCCTGCTCAATGGGGAACCTGCTTCTCCCTCTCCCTTTGCCCAGCCCCCACTCATGCCTGCTCAAACTCTCTCTCTAATAAGTAAAGTCTTAAAACATGCACACATGCGTGCACACACACACAGATTCAAGAACCTAGACAGACCTGGAGGAGAGTTTGAAATTTGAGTCCATCCACACACAAAATCTGAGTCTGTCTCCAGCCCAACCCTACTCACTTTGCCCTCTGTCAGCTGGAAATCATGACACTGCATGGTTATTTCTGACTGGCTCTATGATAATCCTTTTTATTAAGCAAAACTTTTTATTAAATTGTTAAATAAAATGTACATAGAGGTACATCACACCGGTGTTAACAGGTAAAACCAAACTACAGAGACAGAAGTCAGAATAGTGGTTACCTTTCTGACTGGGAAGGGACATGAGAGAAGCTTCTGGAATGCTGGAAATGTTCTGTATTACGGTTGGCAAACTATGGTCCAGCTAAATCCTGCCCACTGCCTGTTTTCCTAAACAGTATTTTATTGGGGCACAGCCATGCTTATTCACTTACACATCATGTGGTCCATAAGACATTCTTCCTATCTGGCCCTTTACAGAAAGTTTGCCGACCCTTGCTCTATACCTTGATTTGGACAGTGGTTTTGTAGGTATAAGTTCGCTCTGCATAAGATTTTTAAAACTTTACAGTATTTTATGATACCCTCCACAAAAACATGTATGTTCTACAGTTTGCTATACTGGACAGATATTTTAAAGTTTACCTTTTTCTTGAAACAAAGCAAACTTGCTTGATCTTTTACTTGATTATTCCAATAGATGAAAGCTCTGGGAGTCAGTCTGTACAACCTGACGTTTCTACTGACTGTCATGCTTGGGGGACTATGTTTCCTCGTATGCTTGCATAATTTTGACTAGTACTAGTCACTAATTTTTAAAAAAAAATTACCTGTGGGCATTTCCTCGGGGTCAGGATAAGCCTGTCTTCCCGCAGAGATGACTTCTACCGCCTCTGCCACTCGCCTGAAACCCCTCCAAACTGGGACGACTTCCGAGTCACTTGCTGTGTTTCCTTGGCCATCCTGGGGAGGGGGTCAGGTGTGGCTAGGATTATGTGAGAGCCGGCTTGCGTGTTTCTACCTTCCACAGCAATTCTTCCTTCCTATCTTCCTGTTCTTTCTTTTCCTTCCCTCTTGTTTTCCCTCCCTCCCTCAGCAGGGCAGGCTACTTCTCTTTACCTTTAGTGCATGGGATTGCTCTTTGGGGTCGTGGCTAGTAGGTTTCCTATCTCTGGGGGCATGGGGCTTTGACTTCTCTGGATTCCTGGGTTCTCTTAGATTCTTGACTGTTGTCTCTTCAGTGCTTCTTTTTCCTTATTTTCTCCCAGCAGAATTGTCCCTTAACATTTTAAAAAGTGAGAGCTTTTTTTCCTCTTCTGTTTGGCATAAGAAAACCTAACTATAAAATGTTAATTCCTCTTTGTGACACAGTCTACAAAATCGAGACTTACACTGATTTTACCTCTTATTTTAGTATCTTGGAGCTTTGATTTAAAAATGCATAACTACCTTGTAGAACAAATTATGTATTTATTAGAATTATATACCTAAACTTCGCAGTAATTTAAGATATTGTAAAATTCTTTTTTTTTTTTTATGTGATCGGTGTGTATGCGATTTGGTGGTTGTTCTTGTTGTTTTTAATTGTGTTATGTGAGTCACCATAAAATACATCATTAGTTTTTGATGCAGTGTTCCAAGATTCATTGTTTACGTTTAACACCCAATGCTCCATGCAATCTGTGCCCTCCTTAATACCTACCACCAGGTTCACCTGTCACCCCCATCCCCCTAGGATATTGTAAAATCCTTAGTAAACTAGTCTACCTTCAGCCCAAACCATAAAAATCCAGTCACTGGGGTCACCTGGGTGCTCAGGGGGTTAAGCCTCT